GATTTTCCTTCAATGAATTAGGATTTTGTATATGTATAATGCATGAGCAGCATTGATCAAGCAAGTAAAATGAACGAAAGATGATGCTTTTAAAATTGAAAATAAATTACAGAAAAAACCCACCATTTTAGAGATCTCTCAAACTATCACTTGTTGTTTGAGTTCATTTTCAATTGAGAGATTCTGGCTTCTGTGAATTCTGAACAATGTCGTGGAAGGAGAACCAAATGTCTATTAAAAAACGAGACAAAAAGCACATGAAAAGTTATACATCAAACTCGAGTTAATATTCTCTTGATATCCATAAGATCTGCATTTAAATATTTGATGCAGCTATGGTTGCACGTTCCAACCTCCTGCACACATTAAAACTGAAACTGACACAGAAGATGCAAGCAAAATGAGCAGCATTGATATAGTAAACTAATATAAAATAACATGATTTATGCACGAACAATGCACATAAAGAATAAAATGAAGAAATGGACATGCAAAGAGATGCACAAGATGACGCCATATCTTGCACAAATTTAGACGAGGAGAACAGTTAGTGGTGTTTGGGAGTTGAAGTGTGTTCAGGTACTCTATCACCACTGTAATTTTTTACACACTGCGACTGAAGCAGGTCCTTCAAATCAAAATTTATTAATAGGTAAAAAATTCCCACAAATTTCAGGAAATCACATCTTTGAGATGTCTGACCAAAACAGTAAAAGGCTACTCCACCTTTGTACTACTATGAGAAAGAATTGGTACTCGACGTATAGTCTTTGTTACCTCAGACTTGACATAACATTTCTTTAGAGAATGCCATTCATTTGACATAAATCTATATATGATTTCTAGCTCTCCCGGGATTAACTACATTATCAGAATAATTATTTTTTACAGATGCACTTTCTATGTCCAGGTCCCCTACCTGGCCACTTTGGTATTCAGGAATTTTTATGGGAACTTAACTAGTTATGTGTAGCCAAATCTAGTTATGAATCAACAGAGTTCGTTTAAGCATTCACCAGAGAGGAAAAAAAGAGAAGCACAATTTTAGTTCATTCTAGCTAGAATTGTTTATAAATATGTGGAAAGGGTACGTGATGAAATTATACGCAAACGCAAACGTCCCTACCAAAATCTAGATTTTCCACTTGAGTAAAGACAAATATTTATAAGGCTATCTTGATTTAATAACATCATTATTAGGTCTGATCAACATAGTTGCCATCAAATAATATTTGCCACATTCACAAGCATGAAACTTCAACTTATAAACTTCACACAAACTTTATCCTTTGGCAAGCACATCCCTTTATTGCTCAGATTCCAAACACCAAACCTAGAAGGGCAATTGTCTAAAGATTACAGATGAGGCATTGAGCCACTATCTCTTGACATATCAAGGTGTAAAGGAAAAATAAGTCAAACAAATTTTAATCCAAGAGACTTGATTATATAGTATGTTAGACCCCCCATACATAAGGTCTATAAATCTAAGGGTAGGGGAAGGAATAGAAAAGGGACACGTGAATATGGGTTTGTTACAAAATGGTGAGGTGGGCATTAAGGGTTGTTAGGATTGATGATGAGTTTGTTAGGAGGTTGTACACCTGGCTGTCATAAAGGGTAAGATTGGAAGAAGTAGTTTATAAATGGGAGTATGTGGGAGAGTAGGGAGAAGTAATTTTTTCTCTGGAATTGTTGGGAGGTCCCCAGCTCCTCGAACTGCTGGGTCTATCAGTTATTTCAATTGTTCTGTTTTCATTTTGTTAGTATCTATCATACAACCTGCTTTTGTTTCTTTTGCGCATACTGTTTGCTCTGTGTTTTGTTGTTGGTTGTGGAACTTTTGGATTGCAGGAGGTTTCCAACAGATTGGTATCAGAGCAGGTTCGAAAGACACACCACAAACGATCACACAGGGAATGGTCAAATCGAAGATGGAGGGTAGGATGGAAAATATGGAAAAGGAGATGAAGTCGGTACAAGAGGATATGAGTTCAGTAAAAACAGATATGGAAGCCTCAAGGAATATTTGACAGAGATGAGGGAATTAATGAGATTAAGAGAGGAGAGGGATGAGAAACGATACCATGAAAAATCTCACTCAAATTCCGAAAATACAGAATCTGGGAATGATCTAGAAAAGGGACAAGAAACAAATAGGGAAGGTGGGAAAGAAGAGAAGAAGGGCCGAAAACTGGAACTCCCTATTTTCAGTGGAGAAGACCCCTTGGATGGACTTTTCGCGCTGACGCTACTTTGCTATACAACAGTTTGGGTCATCAGAAATGGTTGAGGCCGCGGCAATCTGATGGAGGGTAAGGCATTGAACTGGTACCAGTGGAGGGAGGGAGAGAACCTTTCAAATCGGGATGAGTTCAAAGTTGCTCTAATCGCCAGATTCCGGCCATTTCCAAGGCTCTGCGCATGAGGCACTGGTGGCGTTAAAACAACACTCCACCGTGACTGAATATAGAGAGGAGTTTGAATCACACACAGCACCATGAAGGACTTAGGTGAAGAAATTGATGGGAGTCTTTATTAACGGCTCAGAGAAGAAATAAGGCTGAGAAATAACAAATTCCCCGTTAGCTATAATAAATAACAGTTTACCCATTTTATTGTTTAAATTAGTGTAAAATACTGAACAATAATTATAAGGGATTAGGGATGATACCTCGATGGGGAAATTGTTATAAACTCTAATTTTTTTTTTTTTTTTAAATATGTGACGAAATCAAAATAGGGTTTATCTCTAGGTTTTCATACTAGTAGGTGTTCTTTGTGAGCTCGTCAAACATATGAGGGTTGAATGTAATAGCACCATAGATAATAATGAAGCATGAAGCTTTTCCATTTTTTATCTACACAAACACGCTAGTGCCATAAGCCCATAACCACGTAACAAGCAAGTTACAATCAAACCATCACGTTACCATTTATCAAATCAAGGCACAAATTTTCTATACTGTAATAAAATAATCGTGTTCTGATTAGTTTGACGAAAAAAGCACCACCGACAACTTCTTTCGGCAGGTTAAATCAATATCTTCCTGAGCCAGCAAACGGGGTCCACTAATGAAAATGGACGGTTAGATTAACATCACATCACATCGACCTTTTGGGTTTACTTCGTGTGTGCAAGGATTAGAAGAAGTACAGTGGTCAGTAATTAGCAAGAGATCTTAACCGTCAAAAATTATATTTTACCAATGAAAACTTTGTTTATCCAAAAAGGTGCCATCTCAGCAATAGTAACTGATAACTAACCGGTTGTATAACTAAAACCATACAAATTGCACTACATTATTAATTTCCTCCCATTTAAATTTACTTTTTTTTTTCAATGATTAAAATCCTCTGTATATCTAAAATTTGAATTAGATGATTATGTAATAAAAAATCATCATATCTTGCACGGACACTCGGGTTATAAAAATAAAAAATAAAAAAATTATCATTTCTTTACTATTTAATTATTTACATTTTTTTAATTGAATCTTAAATATTAAGCAATTATAAAAAAAAATTGTTTCAATATTTAGGTTTTTTTTTTTTTTTTAACGATCGGAGTGTCTAGAGTTTATGCACAGAAAAATTCAACTTAGTCAAACTTAGGATCTCTTAAATAATATATTCAAAAGTCTTTATTGAACCACTCGATCACCCATAATATATTAATTTTAGGTAATTCTAATATTACACTTGCAAGTTAAGTATTTTAATTTTGTATTTTAGATAATATTATAAACTTTAATCACAATATTCCATAATTTATGTAGTACTCCTACTCCACTTCCAAGGTAAGTATTTTAATTTTACATTTTAAGTCATGTTATTCTATAATTTATCTAGCACTATCAAATCATCTGCATACTAAATTATGATACTTATTTAAACTATATGACATTATTGATAAATTTATATGAATAAATAATAAATTTTCTTTTTAATTGTCTTTTTTTAAAAAAATAAAAATAAATGGGAGGCAGGAAACAAGGATCACGAATCCACGAACGACGCATGGTTAAAGTTAGGCTCCCATCAACTAGCCCATATTTTCTGGGACCCATTTTTATTTGGGCTTAGGTTTCTATATTTATTAATACGAATATCGTATCGTAAAGTTCATAAGCCAACAGTATTTCTTGTCTTAGGTAATCTCATGGTAGGAAGGACAAACTTGTCTCTATCAATCGGTGGAACCCTTTAATTGTGCCTGAAATTTTGTAATGGAAAAAGATATCCAATCATGTTTATATAAAATATACGATATACAAAATACTAAGTTATAAACTTATCTAGAATTTTTATGATGATTGAATTTATATTTATTTGCGGGCACGTGGCTTGACAGATTTTGTCCTTAAGTAAAATTGTCTTAAAAATAATAATTGTTTGACAGGAGGAGTCCAATCAGATAAAGTGGATCTCAGGCTGAAAGCAACTTCATAAATATCTGCATCCACATTTCCATACTCTGCCTTCTTAAATACAATCATGGCCATAGACCGTCCGCCACATGGCAGAGAAGAGAATTCAAACTACCAGTAAGTCTAACTGAGAAAATATTTGGTAATTTCCTGTAACTTTCATTTCATTTAGTCCTCTAAAACTGTTAAATCTGAGATACATTCATTTTAATTTAAAAAATATTAAATATTTTCTATAATAATATTTTTACAGGAAGGTATTTAATATTTTTAAGTGGATATTATAAATATTTTTAGGGGTTTTTTAATTATTATATTATAATATACAGTATTATTCTTTTTAATTATGACAAATTTATAATAAACGATTTATATTTTAAATACAATATTATATGCTACGTGTCTTAAATGCAGAACGAGTAAACTGTACATAACGCTTCTTCTTCTTCTACTCTACAAGGAAATTACAAAAAGAACCCATCAAACTCAAACCTCACCACCCTTTTATAAATAGTAATACTACAAATTACGACGTGCCACCTGGATCTTTCCATGTAGCTTTGAAAACAAGAATTCAAATAAATAAATATCTAACTTACTTCACCAAAATCGAAGAATCTGAAAGAGAAAGCTTCAGAAAACCCAGAAAAGAAAAAAAAATCAAACAAACAAGATGAGAAACAGCAACCATTTGATCGGTTTACTAAATTTCTTAACCTTTCTGCTCTCAATACCAATCTTGGGCGGCGGGATATGGCTGAGCAGCCGGGCCAACAACACCGACTGTCTCAAGTTCTTACAGTGGCCGTTGATCATCATTGGCGTGGCCATCATGGTGGTTTCTTTAGCCGGTTTCGCCGGCGCCTGTTACCGCAACACCTTCCTCATGTGGTTCTATCTCTTTGTCATGTTCTTCATCATTGCAGCTCTTATTGGCTTTATCATCTTTGCTTATGCTGTGACTGACAAAGGATCGGGTCGGCCCGTCATGAACCGGAATTATTTGGATTATTATTTGCAGGATTATTCTGGGTGGCTCGAGAAACGAGTTGCTAGTGATAGCTACTGGGGTAAGATTAGTTCTTGTATTAGAGACTCCAAGGTTTGTAGCAAGATGGGAAGAACTGTTAGTGGAGTTCCTGAGACTGCTGATATGTTTTATTCAAGGAAGCTTAACTCTGTTGAGGTATGAAAATTTTCATTATCTATTCTTGATTTATATTTTGTTAAATATTTTTTGTTCTTCATGTTGCAAGACCTTGAAAACTTTTTGGGTATAAATATTTTTATGCGTGTTAATTATTTGGAATAAAGGATTGAAAAAGGTGAAGTTTAAGGAAGTAGATCTAGTATATCCTGTTCGTGTTCAGCTGTAAAGTTTAATTAAGTGAATTAATCCACTAATTTATGTCTTAATTTCTAAAAGGTCCTGGAAATTTAATTAGACTTTATAAAGATTATCGCTCGGGTATATTCAAAAATAGATTCTAGCTTTTTTTTTCAACGGTCAGTGGACCACGCTGGACGGTGGCTTAATTTGTGATTTTCTAAACCCAAACAATAATCATGTTTCATAGGTGCCCAACTGGAAGGGGCATCGCTTCCAGAGACTCGACGGTGTCGTTTCTTAATTAGGCAATCTAGGAAAACAACATTATTTTTTTTTCTTTATTATTTGAGGTTGGCAAATGGCTTATACCCCTTTTGGCTTTTGCTCTTTTAAACTAACGTGGACCCAAAATAATTAACGAAAGAATGTTCTACTTTTTATCCGTTATGATTCCTTTTTGGTAGAATAGGCTTTTTTTTTTTTTCTCTCTCTCTCTTTTGTCTGGTTTGCTTACTTGATTTGAAGTTTGAACTAAAAAGCATGTTTAAAGATAAAAGAAAGTTGGAATCCTATTCCCACTTTATATAATATCTTTTTTCCACTCCTTTCTGTCGTATTTTCTCAGCTACCAAACATATATGACCATTTTTCTTCACCATGTTGTAGATGGGTAATAAGACAACTTAGACAAGAAACCAAAACTTTAGGTACCATGCCGGTGCCATGTTCAATTATTCTTCACATGCTTGATGAAATTAGACTTGTTTTAAATATTATTTTGAGAGATCTAGCCTCTAGGTCCTTTTATTGATCTCAATAATGAAGTTTTATTCACCCAATCCGGAAATTAGAAAAGAAAAGGTAATTTTAATGTAGTGGGTTATCATTCCCCTTTGAAGTTTTTTAATTTTCAGGAGTTGTTCAGTACTGTCATTAAATTGTCTTTTAGTGTAGCTAACATACTAGTTCTTGCATATAATAATTGACTCGATAGCATGTTTATCAGTGATATCTTGTCATTTATAGATCAATCAACAGTTTGAATTAAAATAAAATGTTAATTCATGTCCTCAATATTTTGATTCTCATGAGACCTTCCTTATCCAGTATAAGTCTTCAAAATCTACCAGAAATAATCCTAAATTTTGATGAAAAATTGTAACAAAAATTTGCTATATGGTGTGTGCAGTCTGGCTGCTGCAAGCCCCCAACAGAGTGTGGCTATACGTATGTGAATGAGACATTTTGGAACCCTGGAGGAGGGTCGTCGGGGACAAATTCGGACTGCACCCAGTGGAGCAATGATCAACAGCAACTTTGCTATCAATGCAACTCTTGCAAAGCCGGTGTTCTGGCCAGCCTCAAGAAGAGCTGGAGGAAGGTCTCGGTGATCAACATCGTTGTAATGGTAATCCTAGTGATCTTTTATGTGATTGCCTATGCAGCTTTCAGGAACAATCGTCGGATTGATAATGATGAACCCTATGGTGAAGCCAGGATGACAAAGTCACAACCCAGTAGGATCCAGCTTTAAATAAGACGGACATGGGTAGTGTTAGTTTGTCAAGATTGTAATTCAGGGTTTTGGTATTGTATTATTAGGACTGGGTTTGTTTTAAACAAGGAGCTGGCATTTTTGGTTTTAACATTTGAAATGTTGGCTGTAAATGTCATGTTCATGGTTATCTTTTTTTCTTTTGTCAATATTCAGAAAAAGAACAAAAACATATCAATGTATTAAAGACAAAAGGAATGCATACTGATTTTCCTTCAATGAATTAGGATTTTGTATATGTATAATGCATGAGCAGCATTGATCAAGCAAGTAAAATGAACGAAGATATGATGCTTTTAAAATTGAAAATAAATTACAGAAAAAACCCACCATTTTAAGAGATCTCTACAAACTATCACTTGGTTGTTTTGAGTTCATTTTCAATTGAGAGATTCTGGCTTCTGTGAATTCTGAACAATGTCGTGGAAGGAGAACCAAATGTCTATTAAAAAACAGAGACAAAAAGCACATGAAAAGTTATACATCAAACTCGAGTTAATATTCTCTTGATTATCCATAAGATCTGCATTTAAATATTTGATGCAGCTATGGTTGCACGTTCCAACCTCATCTGCACACATTAAAACTGAAACTGACACAGAAGATGCAAGCAAAAATGAGCAGCATTGATATAGTAAACTCTAATATAAAATAACATGATTTATGCACGAACAATGCACATAAAGAATAAAATGAAGAAATGGACATGCAAAGAGATGCACAAGATGACGCCATATCTTGCACATAAATTTGCACAAATTTGTTAAGACAAGGAGAACAGTTAGTCGGTGGTTTGGGGAGTTGAAGTTTGTGTTCAGGTACTCTATCACCACTGATAATTTTTTACACACTGCGACTGAAGCAGGTCCTTCGAATCAAGATTTATTAATAGGTAAAAATTTTCCCACAAATTTCAGGAAATCACATCTTTGAGATGTCTGACCAAAACAGTAAAAAGGCTACTCCACCTTATGTACTACTATGAGAAAGAATTGATATCTCGACGTATAGTCTTTGTTACCTCAGACTTGACATAACATTTCTTTAGAGAATGCCATTCATTTGATATAAATCTATATATGATTTCTAGCTCTCCCGGGATTAACTACATTATCAGAATAACTTATTTTTTACAGATGCACTTTCTATGTCCAGGTCCCCTACCTGGCCACTTTGGTATTCAGGAATTGTTATGGGAACTTGAAACAAGTTATGTGTAGCTAAATCTGGTCTTATGAATCAACAGAGTTCGTTTTAAGCATTCACCCAGAGAGGAAAAGAAGAAGAAGCACAATTTTTAGTTCATTCTAGATAGCTATAATGTTTATATAAATATGTAGAAAGGGTACGTGATGAAATTATACGCAAAACGCAAACGTCCCTACCAAAATCTAGATTTTCCACTTAGAAGTAATGACAAATATTTATAAGGCTATCTTGATTTAATTAACATCATTATTACGTCTGATCAACATAGTTGCCATCAAATAAAATATTTGCCACATTCACAAGCATGAAACTTCAACTTATAAACTTCACACAAACTTTATCCTTTGGCAAAGACACATCCCTTTATTGCTCAGATTCCAAACACCAAACCTAGAAGGGCAATTGTCACTAAAGATTACAGATGAGGCATTGAGCCACTATCTCTTGACATATCAAGGTGTAAAGGAAAAATAAGTCAAAACAAATTTTAATCCAAGAGACTTGGTTATATAGTTTAAGTAATTGAATACAACATCCACAGATCCACTCAGGTGTTTCCATGTGAATAGTCAATTTGGCAGGCAAACAACAAACAAACTACGAGATGATGAGAAATAGATTAAGAAGGCATAAAGCCTTCTCCTGATCAAGTAATTTTACCCCATGCGAAATATATTCTTCTTGTGAAAAAGGAAAAAAAAATATCAAAACTCTTCCTTACTTGATTCCATTTTCAACTACTGTTTGATCTTCTCGGCACTGCTGTGGGCTCCATCTCATGATTGTTCGCTCTTCAACAGCATAACCCTCCAAACATGATGGGGAGACAGTAACTTGACCATTTTTATTGATGTTAAGAACCAACAATGTTTTTGCAACACTGCCACAAAGTCGAATCATGCAATGAATATCAGACCACTCCCTTAATCTCTGATTTGCATTTTCACCATCGTCTCCTTCTGATAAAACAAGCACTGCATATTGCGAATGAACCAGAGAAGGATGGTGAGAGTAAGCAACAAAATCCACACCATACTGTGATCCTGACCTCACAACCCAATTTTTGTTTCGAAGATGTGAATAAGCCTTGTAAAATAAAGGAAACTTTTCCTTCTTGGATTTCATATAATCCCATAGCTCTTCATCATTCTTCGGACAATTATCTTCACCAACCTTAATCTTCAGGCATTTTAAAGAATGACACAAATAAAAAGCTTCCTCCATACTCAACTGAAACCACTGCTTCTCTTTCTCAGTTGTAGCAATGGCTCGACCAAAACAAGCTCGATTGAGAAGATCAGTTTGTTCTGATTCCACTGCAAGAAGTGCACTGCACCCGGAGAGCAACGCATGAGCCTCTGATTGGACAAGAGAAGACTGAAGCTCTGAGACGATTTTCGACATGGGATCGGCAAAAGCTTTGGCTTTTGCTGCCTTTCCTTTCCATCTTGGCAACATCTAGAACTTCAATATATCAAACAATTGAAATAATTCAGACTCTACTCTATTCTTTCTAAAACAAATTCAAGCCAGCAGGTTTATGAACAGCTATGAAACTTAGAATCATGCTTAATTAACAACTTGAACATTTCTTCGAACACCTTGGATGCACACCGTATACAGGTTAGAAAATTTAACTCATGTCTAATGCAGTCCAGAGTATCAAAATGTAAACTTTTTCGTTTCTAATTCACTCAAGAACGGCAACGAGTCTATAAAAATTATCTTTGATTTTCTTAGAGTTGTTTAAACTAGAAAAGTATAGAGAAAATTTAGCAATAATAAAATTGAGAAAGTGAGGTACCCAGAAAACCAGTTTCTTTGATTCTAACTTAAAGAGCTCCTCTCCTCAGTCTCGAATGTAAGAGTAAGGCTCGTCCTCTTTTAGTAGGGTTTCTGAAATCAACGTATCAAGTCCCTTCGAAAATCAAGAATCTGTAAAAGAGAGTCCTAACTAAAACAATTAATTTTGTAAGAATAAGAATCTCATAAATAATCCCATTTGAAAGTCTTTATAAGGGTTCTCTAATTCAGTTGGTTAATGTTAACTGTTAAACATTTCAAAATTCTGTATGGTTATTTTTTAAAAACCCGTATATATATACAAATATAAATATATTCTTTTTACCAAACTTCAGTAGAGTCATTCAATTCCCTTAAAATTTAGAAGCATACCTGTCCACTTTTAATGCAAATTTTATAGTAACCAGCAATTATTATGTGTTTGTGGCAATTCAATTCAATGAATGATCTCAAATAAAACAGTGGATCATGGAATTTCTGCTGAAACATGATGTACAGTGCTCTGGTGTTACTAGAAAAATAAATAACTACTACAATGAATTTCAGTTTGCTATCTATCAATCTTGTAAAATTTAATGCCACCATATAGATTTTCAGGAGAATTAAACTTGTGACATTCGAGTCGAGTCGAGCCGATGAATGTAAACGTAATCCTCTTCAGAACTAAGTGGTGACCTCTTGGCTCTTGCTATAAATTTCTTCATCATAGGAAAATCTTTGCTCAAAATCTTCTGAAGTTGTTTTTGAAGTTGTCTTGCCAATTCTCTGTTTCAAAGAAGAAAATACAAGTCAGTACAAATTGATTATGATAAAAAGTGGTAAGCTCTCAGGAGAATTCCTGCTGATAAAGATGGTGAAATCTAACAGACTCAGAAAACACTCTGCAATTGATTTGAAACACTCGGTTATAGTTTTGATGCTATAACTACAGAATCTTAGAAATAAAAGTTCACTTTTTCAAAGAAGCAAGCTTTTTCAGAATAAATGAGCATTGCTCCTTATTTACTATGAAATAATTGTAATGTAAATGTTAACAATAGAGAATTTGGAATTGTCTTACCTCATTTAATGAGGATTCGCTTTGTCTTTCAAGTTGACGTATTTGCTGCATTGTCATGCCAAACCATTGATCGATCCAGCCAAAACAATTCCGATGACTTTCCAGAAAAAGAGCCCTTTCACCCTGTCAAAAAATAAAAAATAGACGAGGAACTAACATTTGGTCAATTTTTCAAGCACATAAACCAATAGGAGAGTAGACATTCAACCAAAATTGAGAAACCAGGAAGAAAGGTACATCCAAGCTGATATTAAGCTTGTTTTGCAATTAGTCTCCATATGAGTTAATTCAGTTCTGTGCCCGTTCCAGAGCCTCAGAACTTCAAGACAAAGGAATGTATGAAAGGAAGACTGCTGTAATTCAGTATAGAAATGAGTTTGGGCGATCATTCTCCTTTCAATTACCCATTCCTCTGCTATTTTTTACTCTCCTTTTGGCATTTTAGACTTTCCAGCTTTTGAATTTTATTATCAAGTCATACACCTTTATTCAGGCAATTGGTAACATACTTTCTCCAACCACTTGAGTAATTCCACCATTTACAGAATGAAAGTTGTATGGCATTAAAAATAAATAATCTGGTTTTTTTTCACTTGCACATTATGCATCAGCCCCCTGTGCCAGAAGGTGGTAGGCGAGCACTGGAAAGGCCTTCTTTTAAATAGAATGGTGACCAAAGATATGTCATTGAATCACAATAACATTGACACAAACTACTTCTGATAGTAATATGAATTAAAACTATATCTTGCCACCAGGACACTCAAATTACAAGGCTAAGCAATAAATTTCTTTAATATCTACACAACGAGACTGTACTTCCTAAACGCACCAACAGAGGTAAAAAAGGATTTATAGCATTGTCTTTTCCTCCTCTTGATACATTAATTTCTTCTGGTTGGCATTGTTCACAAATTAGTCAATAATGCTCACAAGTTATAAAATGAGCATCAACATCAGATGTTTGACTAACAAATTGTAAATTCAGTTATAAGAATTCTCAGACCTGTAAGATCATTGATGTAAAAGTGTAATTGTTTTCTTCCTAGGCCAGTGATATGATATTTGTTAGGCAACACAAGCAGAAGCATTAAGGAAATTGTCTTCATTATGTAATCTGTAATAGAAGTGCAATATTGATAAAATGCATCAATCCAAGAGATATTACCGCCAATAAAGCTTGTTCAAGTCGATAACCAAATCCCCAGTATGGTGCATCAATAGTCACCAATTTATATGCTGTCATAACAGGATTGCAGCTATCCTGCAAATGTTAAGATCATTTCATAAACTACAATTACATACAAGAAGTAAAACACATTAAGTGAAAGCAAAAGAGATTCTCAAAGAAATTGTATCAGCATTTACAAACATGAAAAATTACTATTACTGGTGAGAAAGAAACAAACCTGCCAGCCCTCCAAAAGCGGACCACGTCCAGTTCTCTTTGATTTAAATGTAGAAAAGTCTGTACTATTAGTTCCAATAGCATAACTCCAATAATCCCTTTCAGTTGAAGCTATGTCAAGAACTTCTACCTGCCTAGCTGCCAGTTGTTCCTTGCTTAAGTTATGCACCTGTTTGTTAGATTCACAGTTAAGATGCGCCAAAAACTTACAAGAAAGAGACAACAGGACATGGTGCAACTTCTCACTATTGATAAATTATAACAATTCCATTACATCACTAATATCTCAATAGAAGTATCGATTTCAGTGAAACTTGATCAAAAGCAACATTAAAATTATAAGAAGCTTACATTTTCTGACTGCCCACTGTCAGCTTTATGAACAGTTTCAATGGTGAGACAGAACTTGGTAAAATATGGACACTGCAGAAATAAAAAATCAGTGAACATGCAGTTGACTGAAGGATGAGATGATTACATCCATCAGCTATAAAGATTGTTACTAAATGACGAGATTATTACCTTTATAACTGTGGAACATGGCGTCCAATTGCAGACAAAAGAAAACATCAATACAATTTCTAGAAGAAACATAAAGAATATGCAGAAAAGCGGTATGAGAATATGATACCTGTTTTGCATCTTGGGTATGCATTCCAGGCTTCCTCTTGCATGACAAGAGCATCTGCCGGTGCAAAAGTTGTAAGCCAAGCAGGTGCTTTGCTGCAAAAAGAAGTAAAAAAATAAATAATAATAATAGGCCTAAAATTTAAAAATTCTGTCCACAAGATGAACAATGATCCATCTCACTGAAGATAAAGGAAAACTAAATGGTAAAATGGCTCCCAAGATATTAGGGAAAGCAATGATAAATGAATATTGCAGTAGCAAGAGCCATACCGAAAAGTTATATGTTTAGCCTCTGGAATCAATAAAAATAGATGCTATCCTAAGTAACTGAAAATAGAAAGAACTGCCAGAAGATAAATGGAGAAAAAGAAACTGCAGTTGAAGCGAGCTCTCTACTATACAAAGTCAGTAAGACTAGGGCAATGCTGCCATGGTCTATAATATTTTAACAGAGCTGACTGAACCATGTGCACTCAAACTCTCAAAGTCAAAGAATTGTTTTATATATTGTAATCATCTAATTGTATACAATCAGCAAAAAAATTCTTCCAAAACTTATACGATTAAAAAAAAAAAAAAAAAAATGGTCCAATCACAAGTCGCAAGAATCTTGCAAGCATAAAGCCTCATAACACATATCAATGACCTCCCAGAGACTAAGAACTGGCATATAATAAGAAGACAACAAAGTGAAATGCAAACATCAGTGCATTAAAATATAACTTCGACTTCAAATAATTCAAATACTAGTTAAGTTAACTAATTATTACCCTTCACTTATAAATGACACATACAATCAGCTCTTGTCCTACAATCATTTGGAATTTTTAATCTAAAAATACATAACATCTCTTATTTCCTTAAAGCAGAAAGTACTCCGAGCTGCCATGTTAACCATTAAGCTTGCTGCAACCCAAAATTACATCATTTAAGATACAGCAGGCAGTAGTATGTGCTCTTATAACTTCGTGGAAGATCAATATAAAAACCTTATAAACGAAGTCTCAAATAGCTTATACTATGTTCATACTGCAATACACATATCAATTCAGCCAATTAACAACACATATACAAACAGTCCTGTCAATACAGTTCAAATTCTCAGCAGCCGGCTCAAGAAAACACTTCAAATTTACAAAAAACAAACTGATTATCAGTACTATTTTAGTGCATTACCTTTGTAAGCGATAAATTTTAGATGTGAATTGACCTCTTCCATATACATCATTTTCAAAGGGCCTGTTCTCCAAGACTTCAACACCTTCATCACCATTTGAATTTTGCTGCTGCATCTTCATGACCATGTACATCTGAGCTATGTGATACTGAAACCCAAAAGTCCATTGGAGCAAACACGATGCAAAAACTCTGTTAATATAAACTAATATCTAGACAATAACCAAATCACAAACATTTTAAATTCAGTCGACTTGCTTTACCTCTTCTAACAACATGGGCATCACAATTCGACTTCACAAGCAAATCCCACATTGAAAAGTTAAGGAAATATACTAAGTCAAACAGAAGACTAAAAATAACTACGAAAAATTCAAGAAAAGAAATCAGTTAGAGGTACAAATTTTAAGCTCAAAGCAGACCTGAAAGTAAAAGAATAGTAAATTTAAACTTGAAAATAATCTATGAATCCAAACACAATAGACAAATGAGGATACAATTCTTTAATTTGAACCATTTTTCAAGCAAATTCCTGAGCTGTGCAGAGCGAAGAGTTGCGAGCTGAAAACGAGGCAAAGTGAGAGCAAAAAGGAAAGAGACAGAAGATGAGATGGAAGAGATTAAAGCTTAAAGTTTGCCAAATGGAGAAATGAAGTGAATGAGAGCTTCGGATTTCGGAATAATATTAATGGAAGAACAGCGCAATTTAGCGTAGCGTTATGGGCAGAATCATGACATGACATGACAAGACAGTCAAAACGATGCGTAGGACGTTAGAGATTACACGTTTAAGTCTTTATAAGAGTGTTGTCCAATATCGTGAACGTGTTCATCGATTGACTTTTCTAGAAGAAGGACGTGGACCTGTTGGATTCTTTACGATAGAAACGATGTCGTATAATACAAGTAATAACGTAACGCGCTAGACTGCCGACTATTGCCGCTCTGGTCGGCCCTAAAATTTTTCTTTCAGTGCTAAGAGAAATGTTAAAATATGATTTGATACTCTATTAAAGCACATTTGATTTTTATTTTCATTTGATTTTTATTAATTTTATTGCATTGTTATGTTAATTAATACTCCTTCCGTTACAAAATATGTCTCATTTTAGAAAATTACACACTTTTTAATATACTAATTTTTTTTCAATGTAATACGCGTGTGAACTGAAAAAACATTACAAATAAACAAAGGCAAGTTATTTTTCAATTTGTATTGAAGCAAAGTGTCGATGGACAATTGAAGAAAAACACTACATTTAAGGTGGCTTAATTTTTTTTATTTAATATGCATATAATCCAACGCATTTAGCAACGGGGAGAAGAAAATGAAGCATTGGATTATAACACTAACGTGTCTAGCAAAAAGCCACTCAATTAGGGTGCAAGTGTCTTCAAATTGACATCAGTCAATTTCGACATGTCATAAACAACGAGTGCACCAACAACACCTCTATCGTAAGCAAAAGTAACAACTTTGAACCTCTCTTGACCAACATTGTCCTAAATCAGAAACTAGAGAGAATGACGTTTGAAAGAGAGAGAGAGAGAGAGACGAGGGTTCAGAGAAAGAGAAAGAAAGAGGAGACGAGGGACTAGAGAAAAAACAAAAGAGACGAGATAGGGGCCATAAAACGAGGAAGAGAGAGAGTGTTGCTCAACTTTCTGGTCAAATGACATTTATTTTAGAAAAAAATAGTAAGTTTAAAACGACATTTATTTGAAAATAGAGAGTGTTATTTATTTAATATGGTTATATTTTAATTAATATTGTCTAAAGATATTTCAGTGTATTTTAATCAATTTCTATTGTATTTAAATATGAATTAAGAAGAGGCTTAGATATGAATGAAAATAGTTTTCGATAAGAACTCTTGGGTGTATTATTTATGTCTGAGTTCGAATTTTTCATCAGTTGCTAATAAAGGTAGAATAAGGGTAACTACAGGAGATCCAATCGATGATTTCAAAATCTCATAAGATTAATTGAGGTGCACGTAAATTGATCCAAACACCCTGGATATCCAAAAAAAAAAAAAAAAAAAAAAAAACAGCTTAATATTAAAAGCCCATCAACACTTTTAATATATGAGGCCGTAAAATACTAACCCAAAATCAAACTCATTTGATTTTTATTTATGTATATATAAAATTGAATCTATTAATTAGACTGCATTGTTATGTTAACTAATATTATTTATTTAATATACAGTATACTTTAATTAATATTATCTAATTAATCAATTTCTGTTGTATTTAAAGATGGATTAAGAAAGGGGCCCAGATACGAGTCAAAACAGCTCGATAGTAAGAACCCATCAACATTTTTAATGTATGAGGCCGTAAAATACTAACCCAAAATCAAAGTTATCCGACATATTTAAAATAAAGGCCCAAGGTTTTTGAAAGAGCCCAATGAAACTCATTGCCAAAACACGGACGGAGCAAGAGCTCCATGCCTGATGTGACAGTCTGACAGAGGCCCTAATATTCAAAAACCCTAATCTTTGTGATTACTGTAAGTGGACAAAATCTCCCTCGTCAGCAATCAATAACCATCCGAATATCCAAGCAGACAAAGAACCTGAACCTCCCTCTTCGATTCTCAAAAACCCTAATTCTTTCTTCCTAACCGTTAACACTTTCACTGCTGCTTCTGCTGTACGATTAAAGGCCTCACCTTTCTTTGTGTACGATTCAAACCTATATCCAAGAAAACAAGAATGAGCTATTGCTTGAATCACTGTGAAAATCTGTCTTCAGCTTCATTTTTTTCACACAAACCTTCGTTTCCTTTATCCAAAAACAACAATTTCCAGCTATTCTTCTACTCTAACAACAAAACAACCACCAAAAACAAGAAATTCTCTTCTCCTTTAAGCCTTCGCTCATGGCCAGCTCAGCTCACTCGCTACTCCAACTCAAAGTCACGTATTCGAGCCAACTCTGCCGACTTGAACAACGGAACGGCGGTTAAAGCTCCAAAGCTCGGGAAGAGAACTGATATTAAGAAAATTTTAATCCTTGGTGCTGGTCCCATCGTGATTGGGCAAGCGTGTGAGTTCGACTACTCCGGTACGCAAGCGTGCAAGGCGTTGAAGGAAGAAGGATACGAAGTCGTTTTGATAAATTCAAACCCGGCCACTATTATGACTGATCCCGATTTGGCTGACCGGACGTACATTACTCCAATGACTCCGGAGTTGGTTGAGCAAGTTCTTGAAAAGGAGCGCCCCGACGCTCTGTTGCCCACCATGGGCGGCCAGACCGCGTTAAACCTCGCTGTGGCTTTGGCCGAGAGTGGTGCGCTTGAAAAATACGGCATCGAATTGATCGGAGCGAAACTTGAGGCGATTAAAAAAGCTGAAGACAGAGATTTGTTCAAGCAAGCAATGAAAAACATTGGCGTCAATACGCCACCGTCTGGTATTGGTAAAACGCTGGATGAATGTATTGCAATTGCTAATGAAATTGGCGAATTTCCATTGATTATTCGCCCGGCTTTCACGTTGGGTGGTACGGGAGGCGGAATTGCTTATAATAAAGAGGAATTTGAGTCTATATGTAAGGCAGGGTTAGCTGCAAGTTTGACTTCACAAGTTTTGGTGGAGAAATCGTTGTTGGGATGGAAAGAATATGAGCTTGAAGTAATGCGTGATTTGGCTGACAATGTTGTCATTATATGTTCTATTGAAAATATTGATCCTATGGGTGTGCACACTGGGGACTCAATTACGGTGGCGCCAGCTCAGACTCTGACGGATAAGGAGTATCAGAGACTGAGAGACTATTCGATAGCTATAATTAGGGAGATTGGAGTGGAGTGTGGAGGTTCGAATGTACAGTTTGCAGTGAATCCGGTTGATGGAGAGGTTATGGTTATTGAGATGAACCCGAGGGTGTCGAGGTCTTCTGCGTTGGCATCTAAGGCTACTGGTTTTCCTATAGCAAAAATGGCTGCTAAGTTGTCAGTTGGATACTCTTTGGACCAGATTCCCAATGATATTACTAAGAAAACGCCCGCTAGTTTTGAACCTTCTATTGATTACGTGGTGACAAAGGTAAGAAAATGTTGCTTTCATTTGGCTGATTGTTCCTTAATTAATGTCATTCTAGTTACTGTTTGCTTTAAAAAAGATTAGCCTAGTTGTGAAGTTACTCAATTTGTGTTGGTAGTAAGTTCAAAACATTTTTTCTTGGTTTTGTTATCTTTGGACTTTTATTAATGGGCTATAACATGGCATGCTATTACTCAAGCATTTGCAGAATTATATAAACTTTGGGTGGAGGAGTGTTCATCTCTGATAGTTTAATTGAATATCAACCTGTATCTTTCCATCTAAAACCCGTCTTTTTTAAGTTGTTGAATGTAATTGCCCTTCTTCAATCTTATTCTATATTCTAGTATACTTTTTGAAGCCATGTATAATTCTGATGTCACTGAAACGGCTATTTGTTGGGAGTTTTTACTTCTGCTGACCATTCTGTAATTACCACTAATGTGTGTCGTCAACCCATGTTTTTGATACTTGGAGATATCATCTCATTATTGAGTCCTGTCTACTCAAATCTTGCAGATCCCTCGCTTTGCTTTTGAGAAATTCCCTGGTTCTCAGCCATTACTAACAACCCAAATGAAATCTGTTGGAGAAGCCATGGCCTTAGGCCGCACATTCCAGGAATCCTTCCAGAAAGCAGTTCGGTCCTTAGAGAGTGGCTACTCTGGTTGGGGTTGTGCACGGCTGAAGGAACTTGACTGGGATTGGGACCAACTGAAATACAGCCTCCGAGTCCCTAGCCCTGATCGCATTCATGCCGTATATGCTGCAATGAAGAAGGGGATGAAAGTAGATGAGGTTCATGAGCTGAGCTACATTGACAAATGGTTCCTCACTCAGCTCAAAGAACTGATAGATGTGGAACAATATCTTCTGACTCGAAGCTTGTCTAATCTTACAAAGGATGACTTTTACGAAGTTAAACGAAGAGGTTTCAGTGACAAGCAGATTGCCTTTGCAACTAATTCTTCTGAGAAAGAAGTTCGGGCAAAGCGGCTCTCTTTTGGAGTTACACCAACATACAAGCGTGTAGATACTTGTGCTGCAGAGTTTGAGGCTAATACTCCTTATATGTACTCGTCCTATGATTTTGAGTGTGAATCAGCCCCTACACAAAGGAAGAAGGTTTTGATTTTAGGTGGAGGACCGAATCGTATTGGTCAGGGAATTGAATTTGACTACTGCTGTTGCCATACATCTTTCTCCCTTCAGGTTTGTGTGCTTTCTATTCACCACCTTTTTTATTATTTCTCTTTTAATAGTTATATAAATTTAAAAACGAAAATGAAGAAAGAAAAGTAGCCATGCTTGTTTTAAAGATTTGAACCTGCAAGGATTACTGTATCCTAATTGCATGCCTAATAGATTTTTATCTCTGAGGGTTTGTGAATTGGTTTAACATCTATAGAGGCTGAAAATGATCAGCAATCTGGAGAACTGTGCCACTTATATACCTGGAAAATATAGTTTTTGTTTTCAAGTGCTCATTTACCTGGGAATGATGGGTAATGCTGACGAAATCAGTTTTGCTTCTTAGATGAATATGATTATAATATTTCGTACTCCTAGCGAAGGAATAAACCTTTATTAAATCCCTGGAAGAGGAAATTATAGATTATATGAACGTAATCATTTCTTAACTTTAATTGTAAATGTGCCAAGGCTGCAATCAGAGATATTTCCGTCTTAACCCAATTTTTGGT